TGACTATGTTGGCTTCACCAATTCCTACTTTGCCAATGGAGAAGCAGCTTCTTCTGAATCATAGAAAATCTTGGTGTGGTGGGAAGTATTGGGGAAAGATGGAGACAGGAATGAAGAGTGGAAAGATAATCCAGTGTGTGTGTGTGTATGTGTGTGTGTGTGTGTATGTGTGTTTTACGACATTTATTGCAGGACCTGGAAAAATCTCAAGCTTGGGAGCTATAAGGCATTAACAGACTTTGAGAAGAGGAGGCCATGGGCTTATTTTGTATGAAGCTAGTCACTACTGAGAGGTGCCAAGCTTTCTATTTTTTACTTTTTGGGGTTCAACATAGCTTTATTATTTTGTTTTGTTTTGATTATAGATTAAGGTGTTTTCTTTTTTAAAAAAGCATTTATTTTTTAAGTATTTCTTTTTAATAGGGCAGTGTGAAATAAAATGTTATTGACCGAATTGCACTTCTGCATTTTTGAGAATTGTTCTGTTACATAAATCTGGGCAGCTAATTACACTGTAAATAAGGGCCATGGTAGAGTAGATGAAAAAGACCCAGGATGATTTACAAAGAATTTCTTTTGAGCTTTGGAGTGTGTTTAAATTCTTACATTTGAAAATGAAGATTTTGATATTGTGGGTAGCCCCAATATTTTGATCTGTAAAATGGAGCCATACAGAGAAGGCCAGCATAGCACCTATTTTCTTCATAATCTGTCTTTTTTCATGCTTCCCTATTAGAGTGAATGTTATTACTCTCAGAATAGCAAAATTCCAGCATAACAGGACTTCCTTTTATCCTTCATGTCCCCAAATTTCCTCTTAAATTTTAATGTGATAAAAAGTAATATTTGTTTTGATTTACTTCCATCTCCTATTAGTGTAAGAGTGAGTATAATTATTTATAAATCAAGAATTAAGAAAAAAACAGGAAGAGATGGTACTATCTTCAGAGAATTCTCAGGTCATGTTGGTCTGAACAGGTTCAAATGGTGATGTTCCATCCAGACTTGAAAAATTTGATGGTATCGTTTGCTGTGAGAATTCCTAGGTCATTTCTTTGCCTGTTGTGAAATTGCTAATATCCTGCACAAACGGTCTCCACCTCTCAATCCAGGTGTATAGCCACTCGATTACAATCTTAAATCTCAATCCTATCCTTTGCATATAAATTAGTCATTCCTTAGTCCGGGGCAAATCTTATCACAGAGGCCATTTAAAAGAATTTTGGTTAAAACTAAAAAGCTATCTTTGCTGCTCATAAGTGGTTTTACTGATTTTTGCTTAAACAATTGGATACTATGAAATATGACAGTAGAAAAGTATTTGAAAAAAATGCTCATAAATGTCTAAATGTCTGATTATCTGATTATGAGTTATCAAAAATGGTTACAGTTGAAAAAAGTATAGCCCGATATAGCATAGAAAATCAGTATAATTTAATATTACATTTACCAACTGTGGAAAATCTAAAAAATGTGTGCTTGAAATAACCAAAGGCAAAGGTGAGTATGGTTCCATTCTCTACCTGACCCCTGCCCTACAAGGACTAAATCAGATTATTAGACACGTGATAGGTCAAGAAATGCTCTTTAAGACAAAGGACCACTTATACCATCTTATAAAAGAGAAGCTAGTGATGACAATGTTTTTCTGAAGAATCAACAAAAATGCCATAAGAATATGGAACTGTCAGAGTTATACACAGCTCCTTCTGAAATTAAATTCTGACTACCTATGCACTCAAGCAAAAAATTGTAATATGGGAATTATCATACATTATTTAATTGGGGACTATAAATATTCAATTTATGATATGACAATTAGAACTTGTATCAAATGTGTCTCTCAATCTCAGGGTTAAGTTTCCCCTAATTGATGCTTATCTTTTTTTGACTTTCTGTTCACTTACTTTAGACCAGCATCTCTGACTTCTTATTGCTAATTCTCTTCTTTACAACATATAGATTGGAGCCTGCCTCTGAGCCACAGCCCTATGGTTACATTCTGATTTTTCTTTCATGATTCCTGTGCTTGGTTTGGTCTCAAAAACTCTTCCACTCTTAACTGAACACTCCTTTTTACTTTTTATGGGACTCTCTCATGCCAAACATTGGCCTGGAAGCCATTTTTGTTTCCTATATTTTGAGCCATCTCCCAGTACTTAATCTTCCCAAGTCTCTGGGTCTAGATCCATCCTCCTACCTTCTCCAGTCACACGTTGTGCCAGGTAACAGAACTTTGCTTTTCTTTGACTGGTGATATCATGAAATATAAGATGGTGGACACTGCTGGCTCTAGCTTCAGCCAGCATCAACTAGGCAACAAATAGGACAGCCTAAAGTGATACCATCTGGAAACTCCAAATAATAATAGATGGTTATATTGAGTGCTTCATGTAATACGGGCTCTGTTCTAAAGACTCTGTATTAATCATCACAAAAAAGCCATATAAAATACATACCATCATGATTCCATTTTACAATTAAGAAAATGGAGGCACAGAAATGTTAAGAAACTTGTCCTAGGTCACACATCTGAAAAGTGGCAAGACTAGGCTTTAAACTCAGGAAGTCTGACTCCAGAGACTCTGGCCTTAATTGGCTCTTTAAAGGACCATGAGTTGGGCATGTGTGGTCATGTTCACATCAGAGGGACCTCTACTTTTCTGTGTGTGTGTGTGTGTGTGTACCTGGAAGGAGGGTTCTTTTTTGAGCACATGGTCACAGTCTTAATCAAAAAAGGGAATTCAAATCATCTAGGGAGATTTTGTAAACTATTTCAACCTGTCCCCACCCCAGATAAATTGCGTCAAAGTCTATAGAGATGGTTCCCAGGAAGACGTATTTTGAAAAACCCCTCCAAGTGATTTTTATAGCCTTCCATACTTAACACTACTACATTTAGAAGTTAGACGGACATTTGAGTATTACTTTGCAATTCTTAGAACACCTTTACTCAACATTACTCAATGTGAATTTAGGGAACGTTATGCTAGATGGACAGAATAGATTTTAGAAATGAATTTGCTCAAACAGGCTCAGTGCAATTGGGGGATTACTTCTAGCCTGTAGTGAAAAGCACCCCAGAGTACACGGCCTTTCTCCCCTGATCTAGGCCTTTTCTACCGTCTGACTAATTAACTCTCCAACTTCTCTACAACGTATTCTCTTCTCTGGGATTTATCTTTCTTCCTTGCAAATTTGATTTCCACCAAATCCTAACTATAGGATGTATTTCTTCCCTGGAAGAGTGGAAAAATATGGATTCCTATCTGAATATCCCCTCAACATAAGTTCCTCCTTCTTTCTCAAGTCTTACCCCATTCCTAACTCATTGCTGAATCATGTGAATCCTACATTTTCAAAATCTCCTATGTTTGTAATTTCCTTCAGTTTCCAATACCGCTATCCATCTTCAGGTCTCTTTACCTTGCTTTGGGATGATGACAATGGATTTCTTACTGATCTCCTTGCCTCTGTTTTGTCCCTGCTGAGATCTATCACCCTCTCTACTGCTAGATTAATTCTCCAAATCACTTCCCCGATGCCGCTCTACTCTCTGCTCAAAGGTTTACTGTGTCCTATCCCCCTCTGCCAAAAGGATCAGGTCTGAAGCAAAGTATTCAAACCACTGTCTGCAAAGAAATCTTAACCCAAGCTAACTTAGTATCTCAGCACCTGGGAGACATTTTCAAACATTCCATTGTCCCTCTGGACAACTCACCACACTCTGAAACAGGCCTATATTGTCTTGCTATGGAGACTGTAGCTATTCTGTTCTCTTTTCTTAACATATTTTCTTACCACTTACTACTTTCAGAACTCACCCATCCTTTAGGAGAAAGTTCAAGTACTGCTTCAGACATGAAGACTTCTCTCATCCTCCACTGAGAATAACCTCTTCCTAAACCAAAAGCCAATATCCATTTGCTTAGCACATTATCAATAGCCGCAGCCAATATTTATTTAAATATTGTTATGATCCAGGTATTGTGCTAAATTCTTTACATGCATGATCCTAGTTAGTCAACACTGCAAACCATTAAATTACAACCATTTTATAAATGAGGACATTGAAGCTGAGAAACATTAAGTAATTTACCCAGGGTCACACAGTAAATTTCAGAACCTGTCTTCAAACTCCTACCTGAGAGCTGTGTAAATTCATTATACCTTTACTTATCCCTAAGAATATCTGGCCCCATGCATGATGTATTGTAGGTGGGAAGTGAAATAGGCAGGGTAAAGGGCTCCACCAAAAATTCTAAAGAACAGGATCCATGCTGGGAAGTGACCCAAGTGAGGAGGGTACCTGATACCCAAGAATATGAGGCCATCAGAGAACAACAGCAATTATCAAGGAAAATAGGCAATAAATATATTTTCTGAAATAGATTCTACCCAACTAGAATAGCCAATTAAAAGGAAGAGGGCAAAGCAATAATGAGCCAGAGGTAGAGGACAACTAGCTAAAAAGATGAAAGACACTCGTTTACCCCATGAGAGAGAGAGAAAATAACTTTCATTTAGCAACACATTCAAATTGATTTGTCAAACTGGTATTCAATGAGTTTCAGATCTTCAAATAATAGTATAGATTGGATAATATAATTATGTAATGATTTTAGACATCTCTACAGTATCCTTGATAGGGCCCCAGCCAGCCCTGTCTTGAACTTGAGCACTCCAAACTTCCCTCATCTTGTTCAACTCAGAAAATTCTTAATGAGTTGGGTTTCAGTAACTAGTGGTGGCATCTATGAGGCTGGATCTGAAAATTCAGATTCTGAGCTTAGCATGAGGTAGCACAGTGAACAGAGCAGGAAGTCTTGCCTCTGCATTCCCCAGCAGCCATAAAGGAAGTGCAGGAGGCAGGATGGGGCTCTCCCAGGGCTTGGGGGTGGGAAAACTTTGGCCTGAGGCCCTGAATACCTGGCCCCTTGGCCAGAGTTGCTGGTCTATGTTGATCCTGTAGAGAGAAGACTGTGCCATTAAGGTAGGTCTCATCTTTTACCCAGAAATCTCCCTTGGAAAGCATTTCTCAGGGCCTTCTGCACAGCTCGATTCCTTAGACTATAAACAACAGGGTTGAGGAGAGGGGTCACCACAGTATAGGTAACAGCAATAAGTTGATCCCGCTCAAGAGAGTAGGTGGCTTTGGGCCTCAAATACATGAAGGAGGCACAGCCATAGTGAACAATGACCACTGTGAGGTGTGAGGCACAGGTGGAGAAAGCCTTCTTCCGCCCCTCAGCAGAGGGGATCCTCAGGATTGCTGCCACGATGTAAGTGTAAGAGACAGTGATAAAGGAGAAAGAGACAAGGAGGACTAGCAGGCTGAGGATGAGGATCCCTAGCTCACTGAGACCTGTATCCCCACAGGCCAGGCTCAGCACTGGTGGAGTGTCACAAAAAAAGTGCTGGATCTCATGGGAACTGCAGAATGGAAGGTGGAAAATGACCAGTGTCATTCCCAGCCCAAATATGTATCCACTCAGGAAGGAGGTGCCAAGAAGCTGGACACAGAGGGTAGGATTCATGTGGCTGGCATAGTGCAGTGGGGCACAGATGGCCACATATCTGTCAAAGCCCATGACAGCCAGAAGGAAGCAATTGGCACAAGCCCATGAGGCAGAGAAGAACATCTGGGCAGCACAGCCCACGTAAGAGATGGCCTTAATCCCCATGACCAGGCTAGAGAGCATCCTAGGGATGATGCCCAAGGTGTAGCAAGTCTCAGAGAAAGATAGGAAGGAAAGGAAGAGGTACATGGGGGTGTGAAGATGACTGTCCAGCCTGATAACTACAATAATGAAGACATTGCTCATCAGGGTGATAAGATACAGGAAGAGGAACAACACAAAAAGGAGGAGTTGCAGCTCCCCAAAGCTAGAGAAGCCCAGGAAGACAAAGCCCCTCCAGGAGGTTGCATTGGTGTGCTCCATTCTAAGTGACATGTTTGATAGATCTGTTGATTCCTTCCACTTTGTCAATAGATGCCTAGCTTCTTTAGAAGACAACATGAGGTGGATCCTCATTTCTTTGTTCCTGTTGTAACTGAAAAATGAAGTTTTGACTTAGCTAACCATCAAACTTCAGAAGGTATTTGTTACATTAAATACACAGATGTATGGGTCCATTCTCAAATGCACTTATGCACACGCAGACATACAAAGATACACACACACGCATGAAAACACATACATGACTACACATATGCAGGCACATATAAACATGCATACCACATACAAAGCACTCACACATAATTATGCACATTTCACACATTCAAAACTATGCACTGCACATTTAACATTAGTGATCATATCCACACATATATCAGGCATGCACATACATTATAAATGCATATAAGTTTATATAGCACATGCATATGTAGATATGTGTACCACACATACCAACATAATACATACACTGCCACATAAGAGTACACGTCTGGACACATACGTATTGCCTGTTAGAACTTGAGGTAGGGTGGCTTGATGGATATTATTTTATAGATCAGGCAACAGAACCAAGAGGATCAAGTGACTTGCTTGAAGTCACACAGAGTCAAGACTAGAAAAGTGTCTGGAATCCTAATCTAACATTATTTCTCCCAATAATGATGAATCTTCTCGGACATTGTGGGACACTCACTAACATGAATACAGAATAAGAAACAGCTTGTTCAACAAAAATCCCTTGTGTTGGGGGCATGGCAAGTGGTTAAGTTAGCGCATTCCACTTCCGGCGGCCCAGGGTTTCACTGGTTGAGATCCTGGGCGTGGACCTAGCACCACTCATCAAGCCACGCTGAGGTGGCATCCCACATCACAGAACTAGAAGGACCTACAACTAGGATATACATCTACGTATTTTTTTGGGGGGGGCAGTGGTTTGGGGAGAATAAGAAGAAAAAAAAAGATTGGCAACAGATGTGAGCTTAGGTACCAATCTCAAAAAAAAAAATCCCTGTGTTTATGTTATCCCTCCCCAAGTCCTTTTAAATGTGAGTCCACGCGGAGCACCAAAGGAAGAATCAAGGCTCAGGGCAAGTTGTGTATCGCTCATCCAGAAGATCAGCCATCAGGCTCTACTGCCTCTGAAAAATCTGCTGTGAACCAAGGCATGTGAGAGATTAGGTAAGGGAGGATTCTCCACTCACCTGAACAGGCTCACAGCAAGGGCAAAGTCCTGCTTTTCAGCAGCCACTCATTAGACTGCCCCAACGAAGGCCTGCCTGCAGGAGAAAGGACTTGAGACCCGTCTCAGAAGCTCATTCCGAGCAAAGAGTGATGTCCCAAATGATACCAGGAAATCTCCTTCCACACCCTAGCCCCAGGTGGTGAATCCTATCTGCTTCTATCAAAACAACTTCTCTCTCTGAGGGCTCTCCAGTCCCAATGGGTGCTGTTTTGGGAAGCACATGTAATTGTGCTTTTAATTATCTGGAAATATTCTTTTGGAGAAAATAGGAAAGGAAATGTAAACAAAGAGATGCTAGGAGCATGATTTAAAAATAATTTATATATCTATTATGTGCTAAATATTATATTATTTTCACATGTTAAATCTTTTTTAAAACTTACAACCAACTAACAGAAAGTGCTAATAGTTCCATTTTATAGAAGAGGAAACTGAGTCTGATAGAGTTTAAGTGGTCAGTTCAAGATCACAGCACTCTAATTATGCTTTTAAATTCACACTGTAATATGTATAGTAACAAAACAGAAATTCATCTCCCCCTACTGTTGTCTCAAGAGCTTGAGAGGACCATTTCTGAGGTGTTTGGAGTTTCAAAGTCTCATACGTATTCATATTCACACATTGAAGAATATCCTGATTTCTCTTAGGTTCAATTTCTTCCTGTATCAATATCTATCTACTGCATTTCTTTCAGAGACATCTTTTTTTTTTAAAAGATTTTTTATTTTTTTCCTTTTTCTTCCCAAAGCCCCCGGGTATATAGTTGTATATTCTTAGTTGTGGGTCCTTCTAGTTGTGGCACTTGGGACGCCACCTCAGTGTGGCTTGACCAGCTGTGCCATGTCCACGCCCAGGATTCGAACTGATGAAACACTGGGCCGCCTGCAGCAGAGCGCGCGAACTTAACCACTCTGCCATGGGGCCAGCCCCTCAGACACATTTTTTTGAAAGCAACTTTACCTTATTTTCAACCTCTTTTTATTTTTTTCTTTCTACTATACTGCAATATCTGCATCCAGTTTTCCAATCTACTTTCTACCGCTCAAATTGTCCTAAAACCTGAAAATGTCCAGAACGTCCATCTAGGTTTATCACTTTATCTAATTCTTTACTCTCAATGCGCATTTTTCTCTAATATACTAATGATGCGAAGATTTATACTTCCAATACACGTTTTCACACACTCACTGATTCAATAGAAACAATAATGATAATTATTAACATATTTTCTTTTTTTAACATTTATTCAATACACCTATTTAGTATTCATTAAATTCACTAATCTTTTAGAAAATGAATCTACTATATTTTAAAAAATCATTATTACGTTCACATGACTGTTTGCATCCTTCTTTTTTTTTTCGGATGTACATCATATTTCGAATTCTGGGTACATTACATCATGTTCACCACCCGAACACTAATTACAGTGCATCCCCTCACATGTGAGCCTAATCACCCCTTTTGCTCTCCCCCCTCCCGCTTCCCCAATGGTAACCACCAGTCCAATCTCCAATGTTATGTTTTTTTCTTTTTGTTGTTGTTTTTATCTTCTACTTATGACTGAGATCATATAGTATTTGACTTTCTCCCTCTGACTTATTCATTCAGCATAATACCCTCAAGGTCCATCCATGTTGTCACAAATGGCCAGATTTCATCATTTCTATGGCTGAGTAATAGTCCATCGTGTATATATACCCCATCTTCTTTATCCATTCCTCCCTTGATGGGCACCTAGGTTGCTTCCATGTCTTGGCTATTGTGTATAATGCCACAATGAACATACGGGTGCAAGGATCTTTATGCCTTTGTGTTTTCAAGTTCTTTGGATAAATACCCAGCAGTGGAATAGCTGGATCATATGGTAGATCTATCCTTAATATTCTGAGGATACTCCATACTGCTTTCCTTAGTGGCTGCACCAGTTTGCACTCCCACCAGCAGTGAACAAGGGATCCCGTCTCTCTACATCCTCTTCAACATTTGTTGTTTCCTGTTTTGTTAATTATAACCATTCTGACTGGAGTGAGGAGATACCTCATTGTAGTTTTGATTTGCATTTCCCTGATAGCTAATGATGTTGAGCATCTTTTCATATGCCTGTTGGCCATCTGTATGTCTTCTTTGGAGAAATCTCTGTTCAGATCTTTTGCCCGTTTTCTAATTGGATTGTTGGTTTTTTTGTTGTTGAGCTGTATTAGTTCTTTGTTGTTAACATATTTTCAATGCTAGACATTTTGTTAACGTTGTTACATGAAATGAACCCTCACAATATTTAAAGATTATTACCATTACCCTCATTTTTAAGATGAAAAAACTGAGGCATAGAAAAATTAAATAAGTTACTCAAGATAACACAGCCAGTTGGTGACACAGTGGCAAGTGGACTCAAGAACTCATTCTCTTTTTTTTTAACTTGAGTTCATAATAGTTTACATCACTGTGAAATTTCAGTTGTACATTATTTCTTGTCTGTCACCACATAGGTGCTCCCCTTCACCCATTTGGCCTACCCCCTACCCTTACCCTCCTCCTGGTAACCATTGAACTGTTTTCTTTGTCCATGTGCTTGTTTGTATTCCACATATGAGTAAAGTAATCTGGTGTTTGTCTTTCTCAGTCTGGCTTATTTCGCTAAGCATAATTTCCTCTGGGTCTTTCCACCTTGTTGCAAATGGGATGACTTTGTCTTTTTTTCTGGTTGAGTAGTATCCCTTTGTGTATATGTACAACCTTTATCCAATCATCAGTTGAGGGCACTTGGATGGTTTCCATGTCTTGGCTACTGTGAATAGTGCTGCGATGAACATAGGGGTACATATGTTACTTTGGATTGTTGATTTCAAGTTATTTGGATAGATACACAGTAGTGGGATAGCTGAGTCATATGGTAGTTCTATTTTAAGTTTTTTGAGGAATCTCCACTTTATTTTCCACAGTGGCTTCACCAGTTTGCATTCCCACCTCAATGTATAAGGGTTTCCTTCTCTCCACACCCTCTCCCACATATATTATTTTTAGTCTGAGTGATGATAGCCATTTTAACAGGTGTAAGGTGGTATCTTAGTGTAGTTTTGACTTGGATTTCTCTGATGATTAGTGATATTGAACATCTTTTCATGTGTTTATTGGCCATCTGTATATCTTCTTTGGAAAAATGTCTATTCATATCCTCTGCCCATTTTTTGATGGGGTTGTTTGTTGTTGTTCAATCCAACTAATGGATTCTTTACTTCCTTATATATTATGGAGATTAACCTCTTGTTGGATGTGTGATTTACAAATATTTTCTGCCAATTAGTGGGTTGTCTTGGTTGAGATCTTAGTTTCTTATGCCTTGCAGAAGCTCATTAGTCAGATGAACTCCCACTTCTTTATTTTTTCTTTTATTTCCCTTGTCTGAGAAGACATGGTATTCAAAAAGATCCTTTTAAGTTTGATGTCAAAGAGTGTACTGCCTATATTTTCTTCCAGGAGTTTTATGATTTCAGGATTTATGTTCAAGTCTTCGATCCATTTTGAGTTTATTTTTGTTTATGGTGTGAGATCATGGTCTACTTTCATTCTTTTGTGTGTGGCTCTCCAGTTTTCCCAACACCATTTATTGAAGAGACTATCTTTTCTCCATTGTATGTTCTTGGCACTTTTGTTGAAGACTTGCTGTCCGTATATGTGTGATTTTATTTCTGGGCTTTCAGTTCTGTTCCATTGATCTGTGTGTCTGTTTTGTATCAGTACC